GATATGGTGGGTATCATAAAGATCAAAAACAAATCTACTAAACCCACCCCGACAGTCAATTAAAATTGGCTCCTGAGGAAGATCTCAAGCACATTACTTGCATAAAGACTTTGTCAAAAAGAATGTCGAATGACAATTTCTTCCTACTACATAACAAAATATAAAAAATCTCGCTATAAAACACACCATTAATATCTTAGGAGCACTATATACATTTTTATTGATTTTTTATAGTAAGTAAACGAGCAGACGGATCACCTGATGGTAAGCAATCGGCGTCGTCCATGGACACTCGGAACACCAGAGGTGTTAGAAGTGCGTTACCGGCGTTTTGGGGACTACGAATTTGAGGATTGTTGGGGATTCAGGGATTGGGGGAAAAGGGGGGAGGGGGTTTTCTGTGATGCCGTGGTATCACTCCTGTCGAGCCTGTCCATTCGTGCCGAAGCATGGCTCTCCCACACATTTTATTTCATCACAATATGACATTTTAATGTATTTATTGCCACTATCAACTGCACAAGTTTGATAACTACAATGTTAAAACTTTATTGTCACTTAAATCGTTCATTATAATCATCAAAATTGCTTAATCATACCAAGACAGTCATATCGTTACGATACGCGTAAAGTCTTGTTCACAGTACAGTCTGTTCAATCGAGTACTGAATATTTTAACATAAGTACCACAAAGTTCGATAAGTATAAATAAAATCACTTTGAACATGTTTTATATTAACTAAGTTTGACCCTTATTACACAGTCACCATAGTCCAGAGAGTCAACTCTATATAAAACGCTTTGAAATGGTTATAGTTTTCATTCAATACTTTTTGTATATTTTCTTTAATATGACAAACATAAAGTAAAATCTAAAAAGCAGAAAATAACTATTATTAGTCATAGGTTTTTTTTTAAGGGGGGAAAATCATCGAATGACTGCTCCCGCCTGGGTGAGGCGAGAGGGAGTGTCAGACTCTTACTGACTAAAAACCACCCCGTTCCTTCTCCTGCACGTCGAGCCGGAGCCGGTTACCCGTTAGGTTCTCCGCGACATTAGTCATAGGTTACACCCTCACTGATAATTTAGAACTCGGTGCCTTTTGTGGGAAAAAGTTGAAAAAGTAGTTGCTCCTTTCGAACAAAAAAGAATTATTAAAATCGGTTCATAAATAACGGAGACATAGGCGAACAAACATAAAAAAACAATATTATGTTTTTTTCTCAATTTGACCGTATATATATTTATATACGGTCAAATTGAGAACCTCCTCCTTTTTTGAAGTCGATTCAAAAGATGTCCTTAAACTTCAAAGACTGGAGTCGCGGAAAACCTAACGGGTAACCGGGGCTCCGGCTCGACATGCAGGAGAAGGAACGGGGTGGTTTTTAGTCAGTAAGAGTCTGACACTCCCTCCCGCCTCACCCAGGCGGGAGAAGTGATTTGATGATTTTCCCTATTAAAAAAAAACTTAAAGACATTAATTTATTTTCTGGTGAACAGTGAGAATGTTCTTTTAGAAGTATCTACATTTAGTTCCCTTTATCTAGGTCTAGGTAAGTGAGTTGAGTTGTAAGGAAGCAATGGCAAGTCAACAGTCGTACACTCGCTGCTAATTTATTTACACGCGTATTTTGTTGAAGTTTATATACATACAAACAGTTATAAGTACGTGGAAATCAAAGCCACGACAAGTTCACATAGCTGTAATTATCAACTCTATAATGTAAGTATTATAATTCATTTTTAACCGAATTCGTAAAAAGGATATTCTCTGATATACTATATGTATGTTTGTGTGCACTTATCTCGAGTTTTGCTGAACTGATTTTGATAGGTTTTGAGTAAAGTGTTTGTTACATTTAGGATAAAGTTTTAGTATATTAATTAATTAACCAGCTTCAAAAAAGAGGGGATTAAAGTTGGTTTTTTCAAACGTCGTTCATAAAAGAATTATTAGATTCACTTATTAATGGTTTAATGCGAATGTGCTTTTAAGCGACATATTCAATACATTTGATATTTACCTATGTTTGAGCAAAATAAATGAATTATGTTCAACCCCCTTTTTTCTGAGGTCGATATTATATTAATGTAATAAAACCTTCTCTTAAGTGTAATGACTGCACGGTTGGTGCGGTGGCTGGGCAACCGGCTGCCGTGCAACGTGTCGCGGGTTCGATTCCCGCACGGAACAACACTTTGTGTGATCCACAAATTGTTGTTTCGGGTCTGGGTGTCATTGTGTATGTGAACTTGTATGTTTATAAACGCACCCACGACACAGGAGAAAATCCTAGTGTGGGGCAAGATTTTTATAAAAAAAAACACTTTTCTAAAAACCGCATCAAATTCGGTTCAGCTAATCGCGAGATATTCAAACAACAAACAAACAAACATACATATACACAGGTTGAACTCAGAACATCCAATGTTTTTTATGAAGTCGATTAAAAAAAATCAAATGTCCGTCAGTGAAAACTAGCCCTAATAATACGTAAATATACATACTTTAAACAGTGCATTCATTGTATAATCTATGCAGTTAGCTCTCAGGCGTGTCTAGATCATAACGTCTATATAGTGCATCTAGAGAATTTAATATTATTTATTGATATATACATCAATACTTTTTTGTCAATTTTGAGTTGTAAGGTGAGTTAAACAGTTTTATTTTAATTAAAAAATTATGATCAGTTTTTTATTTTCGACTCTCCAGATGATATTGTATGTTTTTCTAATGCATAGATGTTTTATCCTGACAATAAACGTAATCGGCAAAAATAATCATTTATCTTATTGAGTGCAGTCGTTCGCGAGTTATGCGCATACAGATATACATTTTAAAAACATATTGCGTTTGTTTATGTTTATAATTATGCAAATTATTTTGTAATCTTTAACATACTATTATAATTATGTACCTATCTGCATGAAACCAATATACTTAGGTAGTTGTATGACTCGGCTCTATAACTACTTAATATTAGTATTATAAATATAAATAACTAAAAACTAAAAGAAAAAGATTGTTATATTATAATTTTAATTTTTACATTATACTAACATGATATAATTTATCTGTTTTTATTACTTCTATTAGATATAGATAATGTCAGTTACTACAACAATAATAAAAAAATAATGCATTTTTATCTATGAATACATAACATAGTGCCTCTTAATGTCTGATGGGGCAGACAGAGGTCCATATTGATACTATTGATAGCACATACTCTCCGCCAGTCATAGGTTACTATAATTGAGAGCAAGGTTATTGTCACACGCCGGGACACAATTGCTCCTGTTAAGAGTAACCAAATAGAAAAGTAAACACATATAAAACAGTACTGAAGGACGATATATTAAGTGTGGGAGAGCCATGCTTCGGCACGAATGGGCCGGCTCGACCGGAGTGATACCACGGCCTCACAGAAAACTGACGTGAAGCAACGCTAGCGTTGTGTTTCGTCGTGTGAGTGAGGTTATCGGAGGCCCAATTGGGTAATAACCCTCCCCTTCTCCAATTTCCCCGATTCCTGAATCCCCAACGATCCTCAAACTCCTAGTCCCCAAAAGGCCGGTAACGCACTTGTAACGTCTCTGGTGTTCCAGGTGTTCATGGGCGACGCCGATTGCTTACCATCAGGTGATCCGTCTGCTCGTTTACCGGCTTATGCCATAAAAAAAACATACTATAAAAATAGATTAACGATGAAGTGGACGTATACAGAACACAACTAGAACAAACTATACAAGGATAGTTGATCATGTTGACACATTTTCGGCACAAATCACTACATAGTATAAAACAAAGTCGCTATCCGCCGTCTGTCTGTCCCTATGTATGCTTAGATCTTTAAAACTACGCAACGGATTTTGATGCGGTTTCTTTTAATAGATAGACTGATTCTTAAGGAAGTTTTATATGTGTAATACATGCATATTGAACCCGTGCGAAGCCGGGGCGGGTCGATAATTAATAATAAATCTGTAGACTTTGCTCGGTTGAACGCGCTAGTCTCTTTTTTACTTTTTCCCTAGTATTCTTTTTTGTTTACCCGTTAAGCGGTAGGTGAGCGTCTAGGACAAAAGGTTAAAATCTAATACTAATTATAATTCAAGTCCAGTCTAGACTAATATATTAAGCTACTTTTTTACATAAACGTATTAGTGTAGTTTCTAAGGAAAACTGCAGGCTAATAATATGACTGCATGATAAGTAAAAAAGAGCAACAAGAACTACAATACGTTTGACTCACGGTTGGTGCGGTGGCTAGGCAACCGGCTGCCGTGCAACGTGTCGTGGGTTCGATTCCCGCACGGAACAACACTTTGTGTGATCCACAATTTGTTGTTTCCGGTCTGGGTGTCATGTGTATGTGAACTTGTATGTTTGTAAACGCACTCACGACACAGGAGATAATCCTACTGTGGGGCAACGGTATTAAAAAAAAAAAGAAAGTTTTCAAACGTGAACTGCCTTGATTATACAGTCTCCCAGTTACTAAGTGAGGTAACTCTGCAAATGTATCTATTACAAGTTCATTTTTTTAACCGACTTTGAATCAAAATGAAGGAGGTTCACAGTTTGACCTGTGTGTATATTTTTACTTAGGAGAAGGATTTAATATTATAAGTACGTATTCATTAACCGATATCAAAAAAGAAGGGATTGAAATCGGTTTTTTAAACGTAGTTTGTATATATATATATAATCGAATTATTTAATTCTCAGTACAGTACCTAATAACTCAGAGTCGGGAATTTTGCCATTAACCGCCAATTCCTATAAACTAATCTCAATACTAAATCTGTGGGATTAAGATTGATTTTGATTGAAATTGGCAGTAGGTAAATCATGCGATTAACAACTTACCTAGCGAAAAGTAGATGTTACGTTTTTTTAATAGTTATATGCACCATTTCCTAACCCTTAGGAGAATAATAAGGATGTCATAATAAAGCTTATTAAATTTTAACGAATTCTGTCTACAGAATGGTGGTGGGCTTCAAAAGAGTATGGGACTCCAGCTGTCCCCTAATTTGGGACCAGTGGGTGGATGACAACGGGACCACATGGATCATCCAAGACTTGCCCCCAGAAGACGATGAGAAGGCCATCAAGATTCTGGTGGAAAACCTCTGCCCTGATGAAACTCTGTGCAGTTTGAGCAGTGAGTTAATTATTAAGTATTTTACGTTGCTTACCAGGTCTTTCAAATAGAATAAAATCAAAATATTGGACTAATGACATAGGCAGCGACGTTAGGGATGTGATCGGCGACGGCGACGGCGACCTCTCGCGTCCGGCTTTGGTTCAGACCATGGTACGGAGCGAGGGGGACTGGGATGCCGTCATGCTAGCTAAGGAAGAGGCGGAGCGCATGAGGGAACGAAACTTCTCACGCCCTAGCCGTCGCGAGAGACACTCCAGGCTTCGGGGATCGCGAGATGATATCCGGCTACCGTAAGCACGGGCCTGCGGACGACGCGTCGCGTTCCGCGCGCGCCTCAAGAAGCCATCAGACCACCATAAATGGGGCCCAATAGAGCTGATGCCGACACGGACCCGCGGAGGGCTTAACAGGTTGCCGGTTCGAAGTGCAGGAGTAGGAACGGGGTGGTTTTTAGTCAGTAAGAGTCTGACACTCCCTCTCGCCTCACCCATGTGATTGCGGATGATTTTCCCCTTAAAAAAAGTAAGGACTTTGAAAAAAAGGCGTAATGTCACATAGAAATGGTTGAAGCACCAAAATGTCTATGGTTATTTATGTGTGCGTGTGTAATGGGTTACCACGTTACCAGACTTAAGAAAATGACGGATGTCCTTCGTGTCAATTTATTATTTAGGTACTAAATTTTGCATGAATATTACTAACAAGTTCGGCCAATATATAGGCTACATATTATCACGCTATCATCTACGAGGGAGGAGCCCTATACTAGGTACTGAATCAATTCTGACAACATTCGTTACTGTAGAATATCCCTTGATAAAGACTAATTTAAAAGCCTAAATTTTGCTCGAAGTCATTATTCTACGCGGACGAAGTCGCGGGCAACAACTAGTATATAATATAAATAGAACCCGTAACACATAGACCACAGATATAATAAAGAAGACATAGACACTATACCTACATATGGTAGTACAATTATTTTATCTGCATACCGTGTCACAAATACACTCATATAAAAGCATTACCTAATCAGTATGAATACTTTATTTTTAATGAAAACAAAAAGTTTCTATAAATAGATGATTACAAGATAATAATATCTTGTTTACGTTAATCTTATCTTATCTATACAGATAAATAGAATTGAAGTGTCTGTTTGTTATATTAAAATAACTGCTTTTTACTACATGCATGTTAATATACATACGATACACATACATCGTATGTTATTTTGGTATAAACATAACATTATTTACAATTTTTGTCTGTCTGTTTGTTTGTTTGTACTGGCTAATCTCTGGAATGGCTGGACCGTTTTTGACGGGACTTTTATTGGCAGTTAGTTTATGTACTAAGAATTAACATAGGCTATTTTTATTTTAGCAAATTTAAAACAAAAAAAAGTTATGTCCTAAAATTCATATAACAAAACAATCGAGTAGGTATGTAATTATACAGAAATCAATTACTGTACCACAAGTATGTATAGTAAATAATAATAATAATTATATACAAATCGCCATAATTATGCTTCCGTGTCTGTTTTTGTGACGAAGACCATGTTGAACCTCATCTTGTAGCTACCTCATCAGTTATTTACTAAATGCTACTAGCAATCTCTTATTATATACATCTCTTATTATTAATATTATATACATAATTATATTTATTTAAAATTCTCTGTAAATTATATTTCTAAATACTACTTACAAAATAAAAAAAATAATATTTAAAAATATAAAAAATAGGACCCGACCAGTAGCGGGAGCATGGTCCAAGCTACCGGCGGTTAGGGCTCCAGAGACAGAAACCTCACGATACGTGCCGTTTCTAGGAGAACTGCCTTCTGTAACAGGCCCTTGATCCATCCACCTAACGCCAGCCTCCTGAGATGGAAGTCGAGGCTTTTAGGGATTAACCCATTGGCCGACACGACTATCGGCACAATGATAGCCGAATCCACACTCCACATGTCGACAACCTCGTGAGCTAAGTCTAGATATTTAATTTGTTTATCTTTCTCAGCTTTCACGAGGTTCTCGTCATGGGGAATGGTGACATCGATTATCATCGTGCGGCGTACTTGACGGTCTATCACTACTATGTCAGGTTTATTGGCTACAATAGTCCTGTCAGTAATGATAGACCGGTCCCAGTACAATGTGATATGGTCATTTTCCAGAACTGGGTCGGGCACATACTTGTAGTACGGTACCTCAGAATCAACAAGTCGATAGTGTAAAGCAAGTTACTGATGGATAATCTTGGCTACTTGATTATGCCTATGCAAATATTCACTGTTAGCCAAACGACCACAACCAGAAATAATATGTCTAATGGATTCACCGGGACTATGACATGCCCGACATATGTCAACCGTCCCATCCTTAATTATATATTTCCGGTAGTTATTCGTAAGGATAACTTCGTCCATTATTGCACAGACAAATCCTTCAGTTTCCCCAAAGAGATTACTGAATCGTAGCCAAGACACGGACGCTAGAAAATCTACACCGGGCCCATGAAGGGCCCGGAAGAAGCGTCCGTGGAGCTCCTTGCTATGCCATACCTCCTTGCGATCATTGACGCTCAGTACAACAGGTTTGCGCCAGTTCTCTTTTGCCAAGGATAGTGGAGTGAATCCATTGTCCACCGCTGCTACTTCTCGATGCATACCCTCGTTGACTTTCAGGAAATATTCCCTGAGGCTGCACACCTCACGGTTGTGAAGGGTCTTAGCATTTAATAAGCCTCGACCACCACACTTCCGCGGGATGTACAACCTCATGACCGACGAACGAGGGTGATGCATGCGATTTGCAGTCAGCAGGGTCCGGACTCGTCTATCCAGGGTGTCAAGTTCAGTCTGTATCCACTTGAGTATACCAAAAGAATACATTAGGACTGGCATGACCCAACCGTTAAAGGCTCGCACCTTGTTTCCGCCTGATAAGGAACTTTTCAGTACCCTATTCAGGCGGCCAAAGAAGCGCTCCTGTAACGATTGCTTCATGTCCGGTCCATTAATGCCTAATCCTTCTGACATACCCAGGTAATATATATATAACTAGCTTCTGCCCGCGACTTCGTACGCGCAATCCCGATATTTCCCGTTCCCGTTCTTGATTTTCGGTAAAAAGTAAAAAAAAGAATTGGGTAAAAAGTATCCTATGTCCGTCTCCTGGTTCTAAGCTACCTCCCCACCAATTTTCATCCAAATCGATTTAGCCATTCTTGAGTTATAAATAGTGTAACTAACACGACTTTCTTTTATATATATAGATAACGATACATACAAATAGTATGTATCGTTTGCGGAGAGTGATCTCAGTTTTGTGAAATCTGAGAGTTCTAGTCCCTCAGATTCCACAATCCCTCCTCGCTTTACATGCATGACCGCACACTTGTCTACTCCAAACTCCATTCTGATGGAACTACTAAATTTTTCAGTTATATTCAGTAGTTCCGTCAGTTGTTTCTTGTTTGGAGCAAACAATTTGAGGTCATCCATGTAAAGTAAGTGGGATATAACTAAACCCCTTCTCCGCAAAGGATAGCCTAGCCCTGAATCCTCCAGTAGAGTACTTAGAGGATTCAAGGCCAAGCAGAACCATAGTGGGCTCAGGCTGTCACCCTGGAATATTCCTCGTACTATCCTTACAGGTTCTTCATTCCCTTGGATTTGTCTACATCCCGGATAGCAAAGCACGGTGCTCCACTGCCTCATACATGACTCCAAGAAGGCGCGTAAACTTGCATGTATTTTATACAACTCCAGCACCTTCAGGAGCCATGTATGTGGCACAGAATCATATGCTTTTTATAGTCTATCCAGCATGTAGACAAATCTTTTCGGGACCGACGAACCTGTTGGCTAACAACCATATCAATGAGGAGTAGCTCCTTAGTTCCACGAGACCCCTCCCTACATCCATTTTGAGACACAGACACGATGGAATTTTGTTCAATATGTTTTGTTATTTTTGTCCTCAAAATGGATGTAAGAAGTTTATAGACCGTTGGTAAACATGTGATTGGTCTATAATTTTTGGGCTCAGTGGAACTACCTGATTTATGGAGCAGGTGGGTAACTCCTGTTGTTAGAAATTGTGGTAACGACCCAATTTCCAAAGCTGCCTGGAAGTGTAATGCTAAGCGAACGTGTGAACTCTTGAACCATTTAATCCAGAAATTGTGCAGTCCGTCCGGCCCCGGTGATTTCCAATTCGGAACCGAACAGGCTACACTGGCTACATCAGAGGAGGTGATTTCTACCTCCTCCATCTCTGGTATAGTCTCACACCTTCGCTTAACATCACATCCAGTCACCTTCTGTGTGGCTAACAGGTACCGACCAGATGTTGCGCCAAAATGTGTTAGTGGCATCATCATCCGGTCGCCGCCCGTCAGCCACATCTTGGTTGGATCGTTCCCAATCTCTGTATACCCACCTCTGATCTCTTTGGAACATGCGATTCTGAGTATAGCGCTCCACTCTTTTTTTGTAACGTCTAATACGGTTTGCCCATGCATAAACTTTCTGCTTCAGGAAGTCGATGCGCTCTGTAACACGTGACAGGTATTCATGAGGACTGGTTTCAGTCCCCACAAATGCACGTCTTACAAAGCGCATCACTCTAGGGCGAGTATTGCCCTCCCTGAAACAGGATAGTTTGCCAATGAGTACCCTGGCCTCACTGATACGACGCTCTATCCTATACTGCCAGGCAGGTACTGCTGGTTTTGGTCGGACTGCTGCGTCAAGATTTGGGAATCTGACGTTAGCCACTCGACAAGCAGCTACCGCCCCACAGTACAAGATTGAGTGTGTATCATAGAGGTTTTCGCTACTCTCAAAATATTTTTTAAGTAGCGAATCCAAGGCGCTCACCAGCGCCCTATTTTTTTTACACATGGGCAAACGTGGTAATTTAGGTCTTAAATTACTAGGAGCAAGTCTATACTCACGAACCGCATCCTCCAAAGCACTCCTCAGTCGTTCATTGCACTGAGTACTCACTTGTTCAACCCTGTCATCCTCCACACCAACGATAGGGGTGGTTGGCGTCACACATTGTGAGACTACAGGTGTTTGTGCCACCGATTGTGGTGGTGCGGGGACGACACGATTGCGCAGTGCTTCTAGGCGTAGCCGATCAAGCGCAGCCTCATCCAATCTGCGATTGCGTTGGATGACCCGCACCTGATCCGACAGTCGTTGGGCCGAGACGTTGATAGATGGCTCAAGAACCTGAAATACAGAAAGCATCCTTTCACGGTACGCAGTGAGGTTAGTCCCTCCCTCTGTAGCACCGTAGTACGAGCGCATGACGTTCTCATTTATGGTTTGAGACCATTTCATGCGCCGCACACAACCACCGGTAGCGGGGACCCGTCCCGGGGCCTGTTGGCCCCTGGCTCCCAAGCCCGTCGGTGGCCGGCCTCTCCCCGGCCGACGTACAGGTGTCGGCGACGTCGGCGGGGAGAAATAGTCATCGCTCGAGCTCGACGCAACTGCTGTCACCGGTGATCCTGCGGGGCTGGGGTCCGGCGACGGCGAGGCGGAGCTGAGCGACGAGTCCGGAGGTGGTGGGGGTGCGTCACGTGCTTTTCTGGCTCTCGTCAACATCAACGTAGCATTTTAATTTTCTATTTCATCATCTTCCTTTTGTAGTCTGTCACTGTCAAATTTCATTTTTCTTCATTTATTGTTTGTTTATTGCTATTGTCGGTGTTGATTTTGTAGTAAGTATATATTATTATAAAAAGGTTTTGATATTGTTATATTGGGTATAAGGAAACGTGAATTATTTATAAAAATAAACCGAAATAAAAACAGAGTAAAATTTTGTAGTAATTTAAATATAGAAGATCCAACAGTCAAACTATTTACATATAGTTTTGTTGGACATGGCGTTAGATTATAAGGCATACCATGTACCTTTATTATTAATAAATAAATAAATAATAATAATTTTTACGTTATGTCAACGTCGTGGTGTTGCCAGTTATTATATTATATTATTATTATTATATATACAATCTCTTATTATTATATTCGATATGACTTAGGTATTACAGACTTTTTAGAGTCAAAATTTTGAATGAAAGTCAAAATTATACACCTTTAATTTAATGAATAGTCTAACTTTAGTTTAATGAGCTGCCAGTACAGAATATTACAGACTTAAGTATTTTTTTTTTTTGTTTAATAGGTATTTCCTGAAGAATAGAATTGTAATGAGTTTTTGTCAATACATACCCTTGCTTAGGAAAATAAGACAAATAATAATTTATGTGAAGAAAAGTTTGCTTTAAAACAGATAATAATATATTTCTGCCCATTCATTTTCACGATAATAGTCTGACATTATTTTAGTAATTAGGTACAGATTTCAGTTGTTTTGATTTTTATGTCAGTGACCATGAGTTTGTAAGTAAAATATTAACTCACAATAGCACTTTACCTAACTAAAGGTGATATAAATATGTTTGTTATTATCTTGAAACTGATCATTTACGTATTAAAACACTGTGAAAACCTAAAATAATACAATGTATCTATTGGAATAGAATAGAATCGTGTGAGTGAGGTTACCTGAGGCCCAATTACCCCCCTCCCTAGTACCCGTCTCCCGAATCCTCCACAATCCTCAAATTCCCAGTTCCCAAAAGGCCGGTAACGCACTTGTAACGCCTTGGTGTTTCGAGTGTCTATGGGCGGTGCCGATAGATTATCATCAGGTGATCCGTATGCTCGCTAACCGGTTTATGCTATAAAAAAATACATAGTTCTTAGTTCTTTTTGTGTGGGGAAAATCATTGAATGAGTCTTACCATCCTGGATGAGGCGAGAGGGAGTGTCAGACTATTTTTGACAAAAAACCTACTTCTACTTTAAGTCAGAACCAGGGAGACTTGCACCTTTCCGCAGCCCCAATCGGAAGATTTTTTATGGTGTATCTGAAACATCAGAGGAGTTTGCGTTACCGGCCTTTTTGGGATTAGGAATTTGAGGATTGTTGGGGATTCAGGGGTTGGGAAGATTTGTAAAAGGGGGGAGAGAGTAATTGGGCATCCGGTAACCTCATTCCACTAAACACAAGGCTGTGGTTGTTTCACGTCGGTTTTATGTGAGGCCGTAGTATTACTCTTGTTCATTGTTTCCGGTCCATTCGTGCCGAAGTATGGCTCTCCCATACTTGCCTAGATATCGTGATTCTATTAATAACCACTTAATTATTTTTATAGAAATCTCGGAGGACCCAGAATCAATAAAAAGTATAAGCAACTTTTGGCGAGGATACCTAGCACAACGCATGTCACTAGCCTGTTATGAAGTGAAGGATGGTCGAAAGAAATTAGTCGCGTTAAACGTATGTCTCGTTCAGACACAGGGTGAAGAAGTTAATGATATTGTAAGTATATCGCTCCTTTATATACAGTAATATCCATGCATACTCCAGTCGAGCCGGCCCATTCATGCCGAAGCTTGGCTCTTCCACAAATCCAAACCCAAATCATTTATTTGCAATTACTTTCACACTATTTATTATTGTTACCGCATTATTTACCCATATAACCCGTTTCACATTTATTAAAGAACCATGACGTCGTTTCAAATCCAAGAAACCTTCTACTTGATGTTTTATTCTTTTAGGTGGAAGGAGCAAGCTTCAAGAACTTATATGGAGCTCTAAAAGTAATTGATGATAAAATAGATGCCTTCAAATCTCTGGGCATGAGCCAGTTACTCTATGCCCTAGGACTCGTGGTGTGCAGAGAATACAGGGGCTCAAAACTCGGTGCCAGGATATTGGCTGCGAGGTAAGTTATGGTCTCATAGACGTGATTCACTATCACTTATGATAAATACCCTATTTTTAACGGTATACTTACCATATTCACTTCGTTGCGGGAACCAAGACATGTCATGACTCATGTCCCTGGGACGCGTCGGACTTCAGTGTTCCGGTGTTTTCATGGTTGTATCTATCTGTAGATCCTGGCTTACAGGAGTTGCAGCGATAAAAAAAAAGTATACCATATTAGAGGTACTATGACATTAAGGTTCATTTATGTATATGTTCGATTCCCGGATTCGGCAAAGTATTACTGGGTTTTTAAATAATTCTCAATCGTAGCACGGAATCTGAAATTGTGCCCAGTATATGGCAATAGGCTCACCACTATTACATGGTACTCATAACATAAATAGCTAAAAGTAAGTGTTACATTGTATAATGGCATTAAGTGCCATTATGTGGACCTCTGCCGACCCCGTCGAGGATAAAAGGCGTGATGTTATGGAAGTATGTATTATACGTAGACAGGCAGTAGGTACCACAGATACATTGAAGAAGGAGATATGGTGTGGAGTCAAAATGTACGCAAAGCCGGTGAAGCCACAACTGCCCCTCCATAAAACTAATATAACACACACAGTTCTGACAAAACAATACTACAAATAAGTGCACACACGCGGCATCGATAACTCAGTAATTCAAATATAAGCCTTATTCTTTAAACGACAGCGCACATTCTCCTATGATCATTCTCCTATAATCCTTTTTTAATATTTTTGTGGGCAGTACATACGTAATGATACGTTTACATACAGTATGTAGTCTAAGTTTTTATGCTAGCTAAGTATAGACAATTAGATAAAATTATAACTTGATTGCTTAGCAGTATGTAATTACCGGTGATTCAACTTTGATAGTGTTTATAATGTAATCTATCATACTTACCTACATGTGTTATTAAATAAAATAATATACTGTCAGTTCCCCGAATAAATAGAGTACGTGTTAATTCATTTAGGTGCAATAGGTTAATTTGATTTGGTTCAGAATGTAATATAACGAAATCTATCTATATAACTGACTGACTGCCTCGTTGGCCGAGTGGTCGTAAGTGCGACTGCCGGGCAAGGGGTCTCGGGTTCGATTCCCGGGTCGGGCAAAGTATTACTGGGTTTTTAAATATTTTCAGTAGTAGCACGGAGTCTGGAATTGTGCCCGGTATATGGCAATAGGCTCACCCCCTATTACATGGGACTCATAACATAAATAGTGAAAAGTGGGTGTTATATTCTACAGTGGTATAATGTGCACCTCTGCCTACACCTTCGGGGATAAAAGGCGTGATGTTATGTTTGTTTATGTTTATGCTATCTATATAAATGAAAATGAATTTCCGTTCGTTAGTCTCACTAAAACTCGAGAACGGCTGAATCGAATTGGCAAATGTTGGTCTTGAAATGTTTGTGAAAGTACAGGGAAGGTTTAAAAGGTGAGAAAAAAAATTTAGGCGGTACTGGTCACTACATAGTGTAAAACAAAGTCGCTATCCGCCGTCTGTCTGTCCCTATGTATGCTTAGATCTTTAAAACTACGCAACGGATTTTGCTGCGGTTTCTTTTAATAGATAGAGTAATTCTTAAGGAAGGTTTTTATGTATAATACATGCATATTGCAGCCGTGCGAAGCCGGGGCGGGTCGCTAGTAATATATAAAAAACAAGTCGATATACCTACTAGTCTATGCCTTTACTACAAAAACAAAGTGGATGTGCTACCAATGACTCCACCTCCCCAATTAGGAGAGGAATCTGAGCTTATCGGAGGCCTAGTTCTCCCTTCCCCATCATCATCATCATCATCAATCAACAGCCTATTAATGCCTACTGCTGAGCAAACCCTCTCACACGGAGAAGGTTTGAACATTAATCACCACGCTTGCTCAATGCGGGTCGGCAATCTTCCCCAACCTCCTCAATTCTCAAATCCCCCCAAAAGGCCGACAACGCACTCGTAACTCCACATTGGTGTTTCGGGTGTCCATGGGCGACGCCGATTGCTTACCATCAGATGATCCGTCTGTTCGTTTACCGGTCTACACCGTAAAAAAGAGGCCAGACGTGATGTTGACCTTTAATCAAAAATTTATATACCGGATTTAGATACTATGAAAAGATTAATATTTATCATATGCCGCATTTCCTATGCAGCTATCACGCAAGTCGAAACCTACTTAAAATTTATCAATTAGATAGTGATTAAATATTATTATTATTAATATAATGTATTGACATATTGACTGCCTCATTGGCCGAGTGGTTGCAAATGCGACTGCCGGGCAAGGGGTCTCGGGTTTGATTCCCGGGTCGGGCAAAGTATTTCAAATATTCACAGTAGTAGCACGGAGTCTGGATTTGTGCCCGGTATACGGCAATAGGTTCAACCACTATTACATGGGACTCATAACTTAATTAGTGAAAAGTGGGTGTTACATTGTACCTCTACAGTGGCATTAAGTGCCTATAACCCATCTGGGTAAAAGGCGTGATGGTATATTATGTGTCCATCCGAGTATTTAGAATGAATAGTCCTAATACACTTGTAAAGGTGGCTTCAATAATACGGGTAGTCTTAAACCGGTAATAAATATCATCAGTAAGTTACATTGAATGCATACCTCAGTACATACGATAAATGAATACGAATTGGGATGATGACAGGGTGTGAAAATTAAAAATCTAATTAGTCCGTAAGTAAGGTAATGAAAAAATATTAGACACGTATTTTTTTATTTTGTCGTATAATAAAACAATACTTAGATAAAACGAATCAAAGTTTAGGAGTGGGGGCTAAAACGTCATTACTACATATTAAAAGTACATAGAAGTGACGTCACGCGACATTTCGTCGTAAGTATTGGTTTCTGTAAGAAAATAAATAATATGTGTCTATTGATTTAAAATAATCTACATTAAAATAAAAATAAAAATTTGTCATCTACCCTATTGATATTCAAATAAAAATTTGTCATCTACCCTATTGTCAATCTTAACTTATTAATACTTAGATATCAGTGCCCGTTATTCCCCGAAAAGATTAGCATAACTTAATATGACGTCACGCCCTTTAATCTCGGTAGTACCTACCTACCTACCTACTTTTCATTCATTTTCAGTTTTGTATAGGTAACCTTTTGACGGCCATGGTCAACTATTTAGAGGACAAATAAAATTTGGGTTAATATTCTACTCTCGGACAATAAACGACATTTTTAAGTATAGGTATTTTGTTTTTATCTATAGCCTAAGTACCGTGGCGGTGTATAAGTAATTGATTTGTTCCCTGTGATGTCCGGCTATTATTAGGTACTAGCTACTTCCGCGCGGTTTCAGACGCTCTGCTCAGCTCGTATTGGTCGTAGCGTGATGTTTTATAGCCTATAGCCATCCTCGATAAATGCGCTATCCAACACAAAAATAATTATTCAAATCAGACTTGTAATTACGGAGATTAGCACGTTCAAACAAACAAACAAAAAAACAAACTCTTCCGCTTTATATAATAGTAGGTATAAGAAGATATAAGATACAGCAATAAGCTCGCTAATTATAATTGAGCCAGTGGAAGCGAGATGTCAAATATTTGTATCTGTGTTCACCTCTGTTTACCTCTAGGTGGATTAAAAGATGCAAATGCAACGTTACCTATACATACCTCTATATGTAATTATTCTTTTAGTTAAATTACAACTAAGCCAGACTCTACAATACTATGGCATTACAATACCTACCCTTAAAATTAAAAAAAAGAAACACGATACCATTTTAATGTGTGGGAGAGCCCTGCTTCGGCACGAATAGACCGGCTCGACCGCAGTGAGACCACGGCCTCACAAATAAACGACGTGAAACAACGCCTGCGTTGTGTGATTGACGTTACTGGACGCCCAATTCCCCTCCGCCCTTTCCCAATCTCCCCAATCCCTAAATCATCAACATTCCTCAAATTCCTAATCCCCAAAGGCCGGTAATGCACGTGTAACGCCTCTGGTGTTCCTAGTGTCCATGCACGGCTGCTTACCAACAGTTGTTCTGTCTGCTCGTTCACCGGCTCATCCCGAAAAATCAAGCTCATCAAGCATCATCAAGCTTACCAGAAAACGCTTCAACAATTTTTGAAGAATCACAAAAAGTAGTGCAGATCGTGGGGCGCGAACCAGCGACGCATCGCGCAGTGACGGGTGAGGACGCCTTACGCCACTAAGCCAACTGTGCGTGGAAACTACACAACGAATTACGGTACTATCTATTACATCTATCTTCATAGACTACTAACACGGGTGATATTACTTGCGTCATGTCACTATCGGGTTCACCAGTCAATAAGCTATGCAAGTCGAATCCAGACCTGCACTCAAGTCTAGAACCTGGTCTCAATGTTGCCTATGGAAAGCGCAAGCACCCGGACTGTGAACTTACCCATGCTATAAGTGCATTGTCTATGGAGTTGAAAAAGGCTATTTTGGATCTTCGATCCGACATGAACAACCAATTTTTTAATGTAAATACGTGTATTAACGACCTCCGAGAAGATTTAACTGCACTATCAGCTACTTCTTCCCAAATTCAAAATGAGGTTAAGGAGCTTCGCGGGAATATTCACGCATGAGGAGAGATATTTCAGACTTGCACAGTAAATATACTGAAATTTCGCGGGAAGTGGCTGATCTAAAGTCTTCAGTAAATTTTGACTTAAATAATTACGCAGACTGTGATAGGCGCCTGAAGGAGTTGGAATCGAGGAGGGGCGACTCTGAGGACATTGCTAAGAAAATTTTCGAAGGAAGGTTTGATGCATTTGAACAGCGGGCTCGACAGTGTAACATAGAAATTGCAATTTGCCTGAAAAGCGAAGTGAGAACCTAATCTCTATGCTTGAGTCAATATGCTCGGCAGTCAATGTCTCAATAGCCCCTAGCGATCTTATATCTATCCACCGCGTTCCGCATGCTCATGCGCAGGCCAGT